TGAGTATGTATAACAAGTCCTCGACATGGCTCCAACTGGATGATTACCCACGAAGAAGGGTTGAATTACGCCTTGCCAGTTGCTTACAGGAACACGAGGACGTTTGTGTGACATTTTAATAAATATTTTAGGCGTGCCCGAGTTTCAAATTTGTGGTTGAGCGTTTGTTCATTGCTTTACAAGGGATTGCAGATGTTTATAAAGGAAATGAGTTTGATCTGTTCCCTGAAGGGTCGGAGTTTTGGAAAGTGATCCTTAACAATAGGAGAAAATAATTATTTACTAAGTCAAAGTGCCCAAAGTTTTACAGAAGGGATCTCAAAGTAGTTTTGATCTTGGACCATTTATCTTCGGTCTTGGAAAGTCGTCGGTTGTTAGCAGCCGACTGGTATCGTTTGATAAGTTGAGATCGAGCTTGGATCTTTAATTCTTGGTCCAAGTCGGCTTTATTTTTCTTGTACCGCTCAATTAGGCGATGTTCGTCGGCTATGTGACCTTCCAGGACAGATTTTTCTTGATGAAGTGCTCTCAATTCTGCCTCCTTCTTTTGGATTGATTCATCTATTTGTGTTTTGGCATTAGAATGGCCGTCTAGTCTTCCAGTTGCTTGTTCAATAGGAAACCTCCAGATTGTTGTGATCCGAACTAGGCAGATAGGGGGAATAGGACATCATTTCGGAGTTCAGCTAGTCTCTCCATCAGCCGATGCAGAATGGGGACAGCGGCTGATTCTGAAGGAATCTGAAATAAAAGGCCACCGATTGCCTGAAGAAGATTGTCTGATAAGTCTGATCCCAGGTCGGAGAGAGGTCGGTCGGTGGCCTGAGCAATTATGGTTTGGATGTCTTCCGGAATTGGAACAGCCGACAGAGGAGCTAGATCAAGATGCCCTTAAGAGGATGGATTTTTGTTTGTTTAGATCATATGAAGCGCAGAAACAAGTATTAATTGTGACAATCCTACTTATTTCTGGGTAGATCATGGTTCCAGAATGTGCAAGGACTATTGTGGGTCGAAAAGAAAGGATGACTGACATTGCAATGGCCGACTCATCGGCTACTTCGAATGGACGCTGCGGTATTGACCTGGGTCTCTACAAAGTGAGATATAGAATATTCAATGTGGGTTGAGATGTTGGTTTTTAGCAAGGAAAAGAAGTTTGAAAGGTTTTACCAGATTTACAGAGGTCTCCGAATCAGAAGAAGGAAGCTCTTCTTGTTCCTGCAAGAGATCTCTTGGTTGGATGGCTGCAGGTTCTTCTTCCTGCCTGGCCTCCTCTAGAACAGGGTTTGGTGCTCTTGGTTGGACGGCTACAATGAGTAGGTCGGGTGCGACTGGAACGGCCGCAGCGGATTCGTCGGCTGCAACTGGGACGGCCGCAGCAGGTTCGTCAGCTGCAACTGAGACGGCCGCAACGGATTCGTCGGATATGATTTGGGCGGCTGCGTTAGAGACATCCCTATTAGTTGGAGCGACTGCATCAGAAGCAACTCCAGCAGAGGTACCTGCAACAGAGACGACCGTGGCAAAGGCGGACGCAGGTGTTGCGATCGGCTCTTCGTTCGGGGAAGATGAGTCTGAAGCTACATATGGCATTCTGCCCATTTGAGAAGCATTTGCCTCACTATCATAGACAACCTTAGCTAAAGCCGGTACTCGGGAGGATTGCTCTTTTGTTGGAGCCTCTTCCCGACCACTCATCGCCAGGGAAGGAGGGGACTGCCTCCTAGTCGGGTTCATCCTCCGACCGGCCATCAGAGAGGCAAGCGTAGGTTCGGTTGGTGTTGAGTTATGTGGAACGATCGCCATGGCTGAGGTCGAGCCTGATAGCAAGAAAGATAAGTTAAAATCTAAGGAAAGATTAGATTAAGACGGAGCTTTGGAAAATACCTAAACGGGGTCGGGTCTTTACTGGCACTCGACCTGATGGAAGGTCTTTCGAAGTCTCCTGGTCTTTTTCAGGGGTCGAGGCTGTCTGAATTTGAGAAACTTTTCTTTTTCTTTTTGGGGGCCTGGACCCGGTGACTGGGGCGGTTAATTTTCTTCGGGTGTTAGTCAATGGTGCCATCCCTAGCACTAAAGCAGGTTGGGGCAAGAGAATGCTCAACAACCGTTCTTTTTCAGGAGCAATCAGGGCCTACGCAACCGACCACCATTCACGGAAGGATTCCGCAGAGTCGGGAGAAGAATGGAAGGGGATGTAAGAATTGGAAGTTATGTAATTCGTGAGTTGGGAAATATAAGGAGAAATCAACTCAGGGATGACTTGCCCATCCGGGCTTTGAGGTATCAGGTGTGGATGGGCGAGGGGGCCAGGTATGCCTTGACGGCAGCCGAATTGGCGTGCCAAAAATTGAAGTCGATAGCTGAAAGTATAAAACAATTTATGGCCCTTTTTATCAAGTTTCTTATTCACAAATAAAGACCTGGGTTTAAGGGCTGAATCCCAGGAAAATGAGTAAGTTGGATGAGAAAGAGGGTCAGGTTCGGCCATGGGTGAAGATACAGGGAAAGGCCAAAAAAGACCAGACGCGTAGCCCGCATATTTTCTATATACGGGACGTCGGTCAAGATAGCAGCAATGATGGGGTCGGATGATTGGAGTTTATTACGACCTAGGCAAAGTCGGTTAAGGGCTATTCCCAACGACTTGTCAGATGTTGGGGCAACAGTAGGGTGGCCAAGTTGGTACGCGTCGGGAAAATAGAGTCGGAACCAAAGTTCCAGAAACCAAAAGGGTCCCGACACGACGGTATCTAATTTCTTGCTATCTTTATCTGCAATGTGGATGCTAACCCTATACAGACTTTCAAAAAGATTGGCTAGAAAGAGGTTTAGGGTAAGGGTTTAGGGTTCTTTTCAAGGATTTTATCACATCCACTATTGAACAAAAAAAAAAAATTCCAAAAAATAAAATCAAACACTTATTTTTTACTTTTTATATTATAATAAAAATTAATTTATATTCAAAATATAATATTATCATCTATTTATATTATATCATACAACTATTCAAATTTAAAATTTTTACTATTCAAATCTCAAACTAAAATCCAAACCTCCAAACAAACACATTAATTGTTGCTATTGTTTCCTCTTGGTCTCCAAACAAACACATTAATTGTTGCTATTGTTTCCTCTTGGTTTGAATTGAATTGAGTTTGCTTTAATTATGTTGAGTTGATTTGGTTGTTTTCTTCCCTTTATATATTTTCTTTCTTTCATAAGAGGTAGCATATTGGTTTCGGTCTTATATTATTACTACACTTGCAATTTCACTTATATTGGTGAACTTTCGTTTGTAAATAAATAAATAATTGATGTGTTTCCTAAAAATTTAAATTTTTTAGATGAGACGGTCATTTACAGACCTTAGGTCTTGAGTCTCCCATTTGTCGTCCACATGGAAGTTTCGTTTGATGACGTTTATCCCCTTGCACATGAGGAGACGTATTAGTGAACTCCCGCACCCTTATTAATTTAAACTTTTAGTTGATACATAACCCTAAGACATGCATGATTCAGCCTTGAAGATTGACAATGAGCGCTTTGAAAGTTTACAAAACATCTTGCAATCTTAAAATGGTAAATATCCCTTACGTTCAATACCATTTTTTTTTCCTTTCTATTTTTAAACATAATATGGAAAAACCCTTATGTAATACTATTTCTTATTCATTTTCACAATCAACACATATATGTATTTTTTCTATTTTATGTTATAATAAAAAATATTTCACATTCAAATTATTATATCAACATATAATTACAAACTTAGTTTAGCGGAGTGTAGCCTGCAACGAATTCTAATATATATATATATATATATATTTAAGCTAAATCATATATGATGTGATATAGAGAGATTGAAAATGTTTGAAACATTAAAAAGAAAATGTTATAAAGCAAACAATCATATAAATAGATTTATTGTATACGCATTTTAATTTGATTTGTTCAATATTAAGTTCTGTTTTATAAAATATCAAGTTTGTTTGTTTAGTGTGTTAGTTTAAAGTATTTTTTTTATGTAATATATGAAAATTTATGTTATTAATATAAAATGAGTATTTTGTATTAAATGTTAATTTTTACAAGAGAATAGAATAGATATTATATATATTAAAAATCATGTTTTAATATATATATATATTATTCTATCAAAATATCTTTTTTAACTATTTGAAAATAAAAATATATATATATATATCAAATTTTAATGTTTAAAAATAATCATAAAATAAATATAATATAAATTAATATATATTTTTAATAATTTTAACTAAATCATCAAACAAATTATTATATCTAAATTATTACTTAAACTAAACTTCAAACTTAAAACCCAAGTTATTAAAAAAAAAAATCAATGAAGAAACTTTTAACCACCTGTGTTGAAATATATAATTTGGCATATTGCTATTGATTTCAATAAATGATTTCAAATATAGTCGGACAACATATATTTTGAAATAGCAGTCCCAACATCATACCATTTGAGCTATTGACTATCCGAACCGAGCCGAGCCAAATTTTAAATGTTTGTTAACGTTCGCGAACAAAATTCGGGCTCGTTCGTTAAGCTTTCGAGCTCGTTCGTAGTGTTCGAGCTCGGCTCGTTAAGAATTTTTGTTGTTTGAGCTCGTGTTCGTGTTCGGCTCGTTTAGGCTCAATTAAGCTCGTTCGTCTTATTTTTTAAAATTTATATATAAATTATAAAGAAAATTTAAAATTATTTTATTTATATATTTTAAATTAATATTTTATTTATTTATAAATTATAATTTTATATGCATATATAATATTTATAATAAATATATTATTTAAACGAACGTTCGCGAACAAAGCTCGAGCTCGTTCGTTAACTAAACAAGCCTATTTATGTTATTCGACTCGGCTCGTTAACGTTCGCGAACGAGCTTTAATCGAGCCAAGTTCACGAACGGCTCGATTCGTTTAACAGCTCTACATACCACCCAAAATTGTTTCTACATTCCAAGTTGAATCTAAATGGGATTTCAACTGAAAATTAAATTAATTAATAGTGTATACTAGTAAAACACAAATTCATGGTGCCATTTCTTCTTACTTATGATTTATAATATAAATAAAAGTAGTCACAGCAACAGCAATAAACAATGAAGCTATCTATGTAAATATAAGCTACAACATACCTCCCAAAATCTCACTTACTGTGGTGTATTTGATGAGAGGATAGAGCTGCGTTCCTTCCACACCATTCGATGAAGCGATGTCGAAGTATGTTTGGTCTCCCTTTACGAATACAGAGTATATGAAAACCATTTGCATGTTTTCTGGATATGGAGTTTCTGAGACAATTTTGGGTGGGGTGGGTCTCTTTTAAGTTGAATGGTAAAACTATCATGAAGCTAGCATAAAGATAAAGAGGACTTGACAAATCTGTATGCGAATTCGATCAGCATATATATACATACCATGAATTTTCTGAAGAAGCTCTTCCTCGGAGATGTAGTTTCTGACTAGATGCTTACCAACTTTTTGCTCCCAAATGTCAACAATCTCATTCATAGTAAGGGTGTTTCCAGGTGGCCTCAGATACAGCACTTTATTCAACGTGCGTGGATCATCCACTGCCGAAATAGTGAATGCTGCAACCTCACTTTCTTCAACAAAAACACCTGTGACAACACCAGACCAATTCATCAAGGGGTCACGTAGGTAGGGTCCTGTCTTTTTTGGTTTGGATTGGGAAGATTTTGTTTAGAGTTTATATTCAAATAATGTTTAATCAAGAAAATGTGTATTATTTTTTAAAATCCAAATAATAAAAACTCACAAGAAATTTCCAAAAAATATACTCCCCATAACAATAAAAGTCAACAAAAATACAAAAAACAGCATTCACTTTAATACTTTCACCATTCTACAAATCTCCCAACAAAAACATCTAAATAAATAAATTAAATAGTAAACAAAAACACTCTAAAATTAGTCCTCTCTCATTTAGGGGCCATATTTACTATATGGAATTAGATGGGATTATTAGGCTTTGTTCTTCTTGAGTTTTTTTATTTTCTCTTTTTCCCCACTTATATATATATATATATATAATGTACAATCTTATTGTCCCAATAAACGCATACCAACTTTACGTAGAAAACATCATATCTAACCATTTTATGTAAAACAAAACAAACTAAAATTTTAAAAATGCAATAAGCGCACACTCTTAATCCATATGTGTTAGGTAAAAGATGGAGATTAAATGATGACCACTAATTCTTTGTAGTATACACACCCTATGTGCAAATAAACATGAAATCACGAGAAAAATAAATCAACCAACCAAAGCAAACATGCCCTTAATAAAGCTTTGTATACAAGATGAAATTTGAATAATATTGATGTGACCATCATGAGAGCTATCAATCCATCAATTTTCCTAGCCGAATTGATTACCTAGAGCCAAGCACAAAAGATTCAAATGACTATTCTTTTCTTAGATAATCGTGCTATGAACTTCATTATCGAAGAGACTTCCGAAGACAGACCAACTATGGGATATTATAAGTTTGATTCATCGGTCACTTAATCATCTCGAGATCATCATTAGAAGATCCGAGACTGCCAATCAAGACAACTAATAAAGAATATCAATAATTATAAAAGGAGTGCATAGTTTCCATATTCTATTTAATTATACAATAAGTTTCCTTTTATTATATTTCCTAATAGGTTATTTCCTTATTTTATGTTTCCTAAATTATATGTTGCTTTTTAAATTATTTTCTTATTTTCTCATGTTTAATTTCTTTATAAGGTCTTGTTTATCATTGTAATGATAGACCACTTTTATATTTCTTATAAAATTTCTTTTGCTTTCAACAGTGATTCTTGCTTGTTTGATTATTTGAGATTGGGTGATGCAATCCTCGATGATCTTTCGAAATTGGGTTGTTTTCAAGTGATTCGAGTCAGTTCGTCGCTTCTCAATCGATGTAGGACCGCTTGTTGCGTCAATTCCATTTCTTAATTGATTTAGAGATCTTGTGTTGCATGTTCACGTGGTGCTCATCCGACTAACCATGTGGATCGAAAATCCAGATTATTCTTTTTTATTCCTTGTTTGGTTTAGAGATTTTGTATTGCGTGTTGCTTAGTTCTTACGTGGTGTCAATCCAATCAACCTTGTGAATTGAGAAACCAAAGTATCCTTCTGTCGATATCTTTTTCATCCCTATCCTTCCACCAAATTCCGCATCTTTTTTTTTCTTTATTTTCTGTGGTTTGCGAGTTTCCGAATCCTCGGTTACGTTCGCATCAAATATCCTAAGTAAAACATAGCCTTAGCTTACATTTACTATATGAGTCATTAGAATAAATACATAATTATCTATTATCACATGTTTATTGTAGCCATAATATCCTTAAATTCAATATTATCATGGACTCTGTTCTCTATGAGATTTTTTCTTTTTGTTTACCATGAAATTCACACAATTTCTCATAAATATATACTCCATTCGTCCCAAACATGGTGCAACATTTGATTTCGGTACGAAAATTAGGTAGGTAGCATTAAATTAGAATAATTTGATAATTAAGTGATGTGATGAAAAAAAGAAGTATATATTTGATTTTTTTATTTGAGTGATATGATGATATAAAGTGTGGTATAAAGTGTGGTGTAGAGATTGAGCATAATTAGTTATTTTCTATTTTTTGAAATGTTAGAGGTTATTTGGAACATAATAAAAAGGAAAATGTTGTGGGGTATTTGGAAGGGAAGGGGTACTATTTCATCTCATAAAACATAACATTCAATCACAAGTTAAACAAAAATTTTTATATAATGGATTGGTAAAAGATAAATATTTTATTCAATCGCGAATAAACACAATACTGGACAGAGCCAGTCCCAACAATAGCCAATCTTGTCTTATTCTTCTATCTACGCTTTTTTGAATCCAATCGTAGATGTTACCCTTTTGTTTAAAGGTCGTTCGAGCTTTTCCTGGAAGTATGGCGTGTTCATTTGGAATCTGGATTCTTCTACTTCATTTTTATTGAATATTTATTTCCCTCCCTTTTCATAAATCTTAACAACAATCTTGCCTTCTTATTTATACTAACCCTAAGGACCAACTCGCAATTAACTCTTATTATTAGGACTAAAAAATAAAGCTAAATACTTATAATACTCCCTCTGTCCCATTGAAAGGTTGTCATTTTCCATTTTCGTTCGTCCCAAAATAAGATTATCATTTCCTAATTTAGTAATTGTACTACTACCTAACATAATAAATACCTTTCCATTATAAATACACTATATTACACAAATGTCATTACTTTTATATTACACAATGCTAACAGAGGTATTTTTTGTCTTTTTCACTACAACTCATTATAATACTAATATTCAAAAGTCTACGTGCAAAAAGTAAACGACAACTTTGCATCGAGACGGAGGGAGTATAAAGGCTCAAGACAAATCCACAATTAACCCAAAATAGGTTCCCCCTTGTTTGCCCTGTCGGGTATATGTTATGGAGTTGGGTAAAGTCAAGGTCTATATTAGAAGAGGGAGAAGCACCGCAGTCACTTAGGATAATTATTATTTTATTCCTTATTATTTCTCTTATTATTTATTTACCGTTTAATTGTTGATTATGAGTTTTGGGCTAGGCCCATATGTTTGCCTATATATAGGGCACATCTAGGTCTGTTACGTTGGACAGTCATTATTTTGGTTATGATTACAGAGCTAATTGGTTTTCCTTTGTGGTAGTCTATTTCCTTTGATTTGAATAAATTCTCTTCCATAACCCTAAGTCATAACAGTATACACCCGAAGTGGGATTGCATTGTCTCTAACATGGATTTTGTTCTCCTTGAGATTGTTTTGATTATTACTATTCAATTCTTGTGATTCCCTATATATATCGAATTTGAGGATGATCACATCTTTAATATCGGTTCCTTATAAATATGCATTATTTTTGTCACAAAGCAACATTCAATCACTATTTAAAGAAAAAATCTTCATATAAATACAAAACACAAACACAAACAAACCCCATGTCTCAAATAAGTGAAGTGAAAGAATGCAAATGAATGTGATTGTAATGTAATTGAAAGATGCAAGAGCAAGTGCAAGTTCAATGTGCTTGTGCACAAAACAGAGGATCAGAAGGTGTGGCCATATAATTTTTTTTATTTTTTTTCCAATTTCTTTTTTATTATTTTTTAAAAAGTACTAACAAAAGAAATCCATTAGTTAGATGACGTGATTACTACAGAGGATGGATTATAGTCCATAATCCTAACTTAAGGGGTCGTTATTTTATCTCATATATTTGTGGTTGTGCATTTCTTATAAACACACCAAAATCTGCTATCAAGATAAGAGGAAACATTTATGAGCCACATTAACATAACAAATGACCAAATCAGCTATCATCATCTATCTTGTATCTTCTAATCCATGTTCATGTAGATATAATTCACATGAGCGCACAGGCGCTCAAACACACACACAAATCAGTGAATCACACATTAAGGCTCTCTTTATTTGTGTGTTCCCAAACCAAACTTTACTGCCCACTAATTTCCCCCATCCCAAAAAAGGATCAAATCAAATTCTTCTTTTTTATCTTTTTATATTACAATAAAATTAATTTTACATCAGAAACATCACATCAATGCCTATTTATATAATATCAAACAACTATTCTAATTCAAAATTTTAGTATTCAAAACCCCAAACCCAACACCCAAACCACAAACAAACACACCCTAAATATATAATGCAATATCACTTTCTATTTTGCAGAGAAAGATTTCCCGCATAACAAAACCAACTCAATAAATGAAAAACTGAGATGTTATTTTGGCATTACCTTTAACATTTCCATCTCCAAATATATTGACTTTGTCTCTAGGCAGAGTTTGAAGGCCAGGCTGAATAAGGGATGGAAGCAAGAAGCTTGCAAAGAAGTTACAGCTGATGTAAGTGTAAGGAATGCCCTCAGCCTCAACAAGTCGCCTTATCTCAGCTTTGGTTGAATAGAAGCCATGGTCCAAGTTGGAAACTCGAGTTCTGTCAGGATCTCCTCCAAACTCTGACGGGAAGAACCTCTGCACAATTTTTGTACTTCAATGATAAAATAGGTTGCATATAATTGAATACAATGCAATTAAAACCTACTTCATTAAAATACAAACAGATCATTGATGTTCCCCTCCTAATTAAGAAAAAAAAAAAAAGAAACTCCAGTATAAATATACAGGAAGGTCTCATATAATATCATTATGCAAATGATACTAGATAATAGCTTTCAGAAATGATAACAAATTATTAAGTGTGCTTATTTGTTTCCAATTTGCTTTCATGCTATACACTTTATAATAAAATATTGTTTGGCCTAACAATTGTACATTCAACACCTATTTGAAGTTCAAAACATTACATTAAATGCCTATTTTTTATTAAAATCACGTCAACAAAAAACTATTTTACATTGAAAGCTTTTAAATCCAAAACACAAGAAAATCTAAAACACTTCAAAATACCAAAAACAAACACAATTGTTTGGCTCTTGAATTGGTTGGATTTTGTTATTCCAAAAAAAATTTTTAAATTATATTATACTAAAATTTAATTACATTCAAAATATCACATCAATACACCAAAAAAAACGCATCTAAAATACTTAAAAACACATACAAAATTAGTTGAATTCTAAAGAGAATTAGCTTCAACCACTCCATAATTTCTTCCAAACACCAAAAATTATCTTATGCCTATGCACAAGTAGAAATTGAACATTTCGAGAAAACTAGGATATAATAATAATAATAATAATTAATGCAACCAGCTCGTTTGATTGCGGAAATAAGAAGCTTCTGATCACGACCTTGATGCAACCAGCTCGTTTGATTGCCGAAATCAGAAGCTTCTGATCAAGGACTTGCGCTGACGCAACGGCGCAAATCACGACGTCCACTTGCTTTAGAGCTTCGATTAAACCGTCTTCCTCTTGCAATGAACCCTAACACCACAAAAGTAAACCGATCATCGGCTACTACTACAACTACGAGCGCAATAATTAAAACAGGAAATAAAAAATTAGCATCGTCGACGCACTTTGATAATCTGGACGCCATGGTTGGAGAGATTTTGAATCTTCTGTAATTTATTTGGATCGGAAAATGCGGAGTCCCGAACTAGTCCGAACGTTGGATGGGATGCAGCTGTGCTGGCCTTAGCGAGCTCGAATCCGAGATTACCGGTGACTCCGATTATCAGTATTCGACTCCTGCTCTCTGCCGCCATTTAGATTCATTCAGCTCGGAGCTCCGCTAGGCTGCGCTGCGGAGGGAGAGAGGAAATGGCCCAAATTAAAATGAGGGTTTTTATTTATTCATTTACCGGTGGGAGGACCGTGGTGCAATCGAGTATCGACTAAAAATATATTACACAATATTTTTTACAATATTAATATTGTATATAAATTTTTGTAATTTATAGTATGATTGATAATTACTAAATAAAAAAAAATTACATTTATCTCAAAATATTTTAGTTTTTTTTTTATTATTATTTTTATAGGTGAGTGGTGGTGTTAATGTTTCTAAAATAAAAATTATATATAATTAAAAAAATTTAAAATATTAAAATTAAATGTTTAATTATAAAAATTAAATTTATTATATAAAAAAAGTATATGCATACTAAAATTAATCTAAATATGTTTCATACATAAAACAAAATAATTGAAAATTTTAAAATAAATTCTAATACTCCTTCCATTTACATAAGCATAAAAAATAAAGTTAGTCGTTGACCCAATGAAGGATGAATGGATGGTCCTGGTGGTGATCCAGTGGTGGGCCAGAATCATTCGGTCGGATGATTGTTGAGGCTAGGCTAATAGGACGGTTGGCCTTACGGACAACTTTCATCTGAGTGTAGGCGTTGGGACGATTGGTCGGTTGGTCATAAAGGTTACCGACGTAGAAACGGTTTGATAGGATCGTTGGTCACAAAGGTTACCAACGTGGAAGCGGTTTCGGACGGTTCAAATCGGTAACCAACGATGAAGCGATTTTGGACGGTTTGTAATCGACGTGGAAGCAGTTTTTTTACGATTACCGACGTGGAAGCAGTTTTTTACAATTACCGACATGGAAATGGTTTTTTTGGGTGATTTAAGGGTAAGCAACATGAAAGTGGTTTAGGACGGTTTGGTTTAATACGTATATAAGCAATCTCAACAATAGAGAGCATGCATCTTCAATTAGACAAATTTTAAGAGAATCTCATTGGGGATCATCATTTTATTTCCAGTTATCCTTTTCAGCTTTCCTTTTCAGTCTTAGGAATATGTGATCTCAGACACTCTTCATTCAATTTTGAAATATATTTTCAAATTTTACTTTTTATTTGTTGAAATTTTACCATCAACAAATTGGCGACCACAGTAGGAAAAAGACAAAATTGTTGGTCCTATGTCTACCGAAAATCTCATACAACTCAGATCTGGTCGAATCGTTGCAAGGAACTTCATGGCAGGTTCTCAATCTCAAATCCTCAACATAGCCATCGGGGCCACCACGGCAACCCCACAATCAATCTCCACTACGGGGGTCGTCTCCAAAGCACCATCTGAATGGTTAAATCATGTTCAACAAATGAACAATCTGCAAACACCAACCCTGCAAATAATGTTGCACGAGCAACAAAACTTGATACAGAACATGTTAGATCAAACCCTGTCGAGAGTTACACTTCACTCCGCGCGCCTTCACCTCCAGGAATGTCTCTGTCGCGTCTTCTAGCAAACTTCGCAGGGCCGTCGTTCATGGATAGCACCATTCCAAGTGCTACAACCCCTAGTAGAGCAGAAAAAGGAAAAACTTCCCTCACTTCTCTAAATAATATCCCTCTGAGGACTTGGCCTAAGCCGTTTCAACAGGGGGATGACGACCTGGACAGAGGGATGACTGGCCTAGAGGTCATCCTCATGATCCCATTCCAGTTCCGGATCATCATCCGGTCAGATTGGACCCAGACGACGTCGCACACATTTTGAGGGTCCATTTCGGTATGACTCAACAGGTTACCAATAGGCCCGCATATCAACGGCCATTCCCGAGTGGATTATTAATGATGATCCTCTTCCTAAGAATTATCGACCACCCGACTTTCACGCATTCTCGAGAGAGGTTGAGTCTTCTACTATTGAGCATGTGGGACGCTTGACGGCGCAATTGGGTGAAATCAGTAACAATCTATTTCATAAATTGCAGTTGTTCGGTCTATCTCTGACCAAGACGTCATTTTCTTGGTTTGTTAATTTGCCACCTGGGCAAATACATACATGGGAAGGATTGGAGATGGCCTTTCACGCCAGGTTTTTCAATCCTGTTCCAGTGGTGTCCTATAAAATGAAATTAACTCAACATTTCAACATATGTAAAAACAACAAAACATAAAACAACATAAATATAATTATAGCATGGACCTATCTTGATGACACCTGAACCAACATCCGTATAACATCACAATACAAAACAACCAGCAGTATAAACAATTTATTTGATGCATGTGAAAGCTGTTTGTTTAAACAACCAACTTAAACATGTATCGATTCAACAACAACAATTATGTGAGTGTAAATGTATCCAAATACCAAACACTTTGAATTATAACAAAAAGTAAAGAGGTTTGGGGATAAAATCAATTCACCCACCATCTACAATAATCTTTAATTATAAACGTATATGCTCCCCAACAAGACCATACGGAACAAACAGTCACCGAATTACAGTTCCACATAAAACGTATTGTCACCATATCATGTATAACTATTTTGACTCATTAACAGCCATAGAAGATTCTTTACTCAAAATGGTTGGAACTAAAACCGATTTCACATAGAAAACATCACCAAGTTAACCACAAACCTGGGGTAGGGTCGGACAGAAACACCCCCTCACCAACAATACGTTTATCCAACCCACGATAGATTAGAAAGACACAAGACCCGATCTACATGAAAAATGTTATCAGATGTCAATAATGGTCTCTAAGGTGATGGTGATGTATTAGTAGTGGATGTTGTTATGTAAATGGTGATTTAGTTAACAAATACAAATAAAATTAGCAACGAATAATGACTAACCGTCAATAGGTTGTGGACATCAGTACCCGGCGTCTCTGACCATCCATCGGTGCGGCTAGATCCCTACAAGACAAGAGAGTAAGAAGTGACTTGACTCACGTGGAGAGGTAAAATAGAAAACTAATTAATACGTGAGATATGCATTTTTACAGGACCTTGTAACGAGGCACACAACAAAGAATTCAACAAAGCAGACATCTCAGCGCGGATGGTTTGTAATTTCAGACATCTCAGTGCGGGTAGTTCTAAACTCAAACATGAATTCCCTAATCTCAACAAGGCCATTCTGATAGTCCTCAACAAGCTTTCGTATATCAGGACTATTGGGGCCTCCAGTCAAATGACTCCGGGGGTGGGCAGAGCTGGCAGCACTATCAACAGCCGTCTTTCCATTCCTTTTCCCCCTGAGTGCACAGCGGTACAAAGCCTCGCGTGCTTCTGGGGTTCTTTTATCAGCGGGATTTTTTTTAAGTTCATCATTTAAATAAGCCTGCACAATTCCGAACAAAAAAAACTATAACGAAGGAAAGTACTACAATTCCATTCAACAAAAGGTGCGATAGGTTTGCATACGAAACTATCAACAATCATCTCATCATCACCACCACGTCCACTCGTTTAGGTTGCCATGTAAACCAGTGGATATATTTCCAAGGTGCTTTCCTTCCACTACCATGCCTTCAACGCCCTCCCTAGCTCAACCCAATCGCATTTGAACAGAAGGTGTTGGTTCTCGTTGTTGTACTCCACCTCTATAATATCGGTCACTACACCGTAACATGCAAGGCGCCTGAACGTAGGTTAGTGTCCCTTGCACTGGAAAAACTCATGGTATCCGCATTTAACATCACACCGGCACACTGAGTCATCTTCCCATCATCTATTGACTTGACTTGAAAGAACAAAAACTCCAACTATGCATGAATTGTACCTTGTTGCGTGACGGTTGGTTCCACGTGCTAATGTCTTCATATAATCAGTCACCGTCCCCTCAAGAATGTGCGTTGGCTCATCTACCTAAACACACAAGTAAGTTATGTTTATATATCCTCGATAGGTTTTATTTCCCAAAGTGAGAATGGGATGAAAATGAACACGAACATAATTTTGAAACTAGGCTGGATATTGTTTGGTGTAGATCTGCTGCACTTCCCGAGGACTTGCATCGGGCCGTATCTTTCTAATACTTTCAAGATGAGTCCTAACAATAGATGGTTGAAGTTATTCTTTCTATTCGCTAAGGGCACAATAGGAATACTTTCACAAATTAAAGAAAAGTACCTTATTGTTGGTTCAATATCTTTCGCATTGCCTAATATGTACCTGTGAATTTGTTGCAAGGAGATGAAATCAAGGTTACAATGCATCCCAGCAACACCACGGCCAATACTACATCCTTGGTCGTCATTTCGCGTGCATCAATTCTCTTTTGTCTTGACATCAACAAGATACCCCTCTGGCTGTGCACGGTTGCATACATACCTCTTAAGAGTAGCTAAATACCGTTCAATAGGATACATGTACATGTAATGAACAGGTCTGTCAATCATTGCCTCTTTTCTGAAGTTAATAAGAAGATGCTCCATCACGTCAAAAAATAACGGGGGAAATAACTTCTCAAGATGGCATATAGTCAAAGATATCCTTTCCTGTAACTTCTCCAGTTGACGAACTAAGTTGTTGGTTGACCACATCAAATTGAAGAAGCTGCACAATTCTATCAACACAACAACTACTCTTGGTAGCGCCCTAAAGAAAGACAACATAGACAATGTTTGATATGAAGTTGTACCAGCACATAATGGTCATATTCGAGAAATGATAATAGAAAGACAAGGCATACCGTCGGACGGAAATAGCAAGAATCTTTAGCATTAGAACATGACAATTGTGGCTCTTCAGTCCTCAAATGGTTAGTTGCTCTACTTGCACCCTACGGGATAAATTGCTACTAAATCCATCGGGGGCTTTTAGATTTTTCAAAATGGAAAGAAATATTTTATTTTCAGCAGAACTCATGGTATAAGTAGCTGCAGGTAAATAAAATCCACAATTGGGTTGTGAAACATGATGCAAAGAACTTCTTGTATTCAGTAACTGTAAATCATTCCTTGTATTAAGGTTGTCCTTTGTTTTGCCCTTTGTGCCTAGCAAAGTGTGAAGGGCATTTTCACAAAAACGTTTTTCAATGTGCGTCATATCAAGGTTGTGTCATATATCGTTCTGAGC